ATCACAAGTGGTATTTATCCCAAATTCAACGCATAAAACATGCTATTGTTTATAAAATGGTTGAATAAAATTGTACCATTTGAAATACCACTATTAAGGATAARTACCACTCCTCTAAGCCAATCAAATTGCACAATTTTATTCAACCATATTATAAAKAACATAATTTTTATAAAATGAGTTGTTTATTAATTGGATRAGGAAAATCGTTTGATTTATCCCAATTRTTGTCAKCATCAAACTCATTTTTAAACTCTCCTGGGTCATTTATCTTGGTAAGTTGTGTTTTCTGAGCTTGCAAGTTTTCTCTATAAAAGAYCAATTCACTTTTCACCAGATTACGACAAAATGTTTTCATAGTGTTTGGGATATTGTCGTTCAAGCTATGACCCAAGGCAAATTTTTCATGATATACCTCAGTGAGAACTGGTTCAGGATTTACACACATCTCGGTGACCTCCTGTTTGCGCTTACGGAATTTGCCAAGATCCTCGTAGAAGTCCGGTCCTTSTGCGGCAATTTTCTCCCAAAAGGTGTTATTAAAGTGATTATAGAGAATGAARTCAGCCCTGTTCCAGCTTTTTATATTAGCCTCAAGTAGACGGGTGAGTTTCTTCTTTTCCTTCTCCTGCCGCTCATTGTGCTTGAGGAAAACTACATCATCCATCTCCCAGTCCATTAGCCGTTTCAGCAAAACAACTGACTCGTCAAAGAATTCCATAATCATGACAAGATCGAACTCTTTGTCCAAGAATTGAATGTAATTTTTGACAGCCTTTTCATCCTGATAGTAGCGAAAGTCAAGCCCCAAGTCATATAACATAGGGTTTCGAATTAGTCGTAGAGTGTCTTTACGGTGAAGCTTTGCAGATTTGAAATTTGTTATGCTAAGAAGATATTTCTGCAACACTTCCATGCTATCTTTGCCTTCAATATCAAGGTATTTCSATAACGACATATAGTTAAATATGGACTCAAAATTTGATAATGGCTCACGTAGTATAGTTATATAAGCGCTTTTCTGTTTGGGAAAGAGATGGCGCAGAAGACGTCTGTTGTATCTAGCATGGTTGCATAATATGTCAGGATTTTCCCATAAATCTACTATGAAGTCAGTTTTCAAACGTTCAGGCCAGTTGAAAATTACGTCATGTTTTGGCAGAGCAAACGTTAAGTTGTTCTTGGTTCCATATCTGTTTAGAATGTTGGTGATGGTGCTGCTGCCTGTTTTATGCGTCTTTAGAAACATGATGGCTTTGTTTTTCGGTAAGGGCGAGGGAACAGCACGAGGAACTTTATAACCAGCAGTGCTGTTGATTCCATCGTAACTTCTGAAATTAAATGTAAATTTTTATGAATTCAAAAACTCATACATAATTGATGAGCTATTAGGCCAATTGAATGAACCTATTTGGTCACATGCATGGACCTTTATATCTGATAAAGCACTCCTTATTAGTATTCTTTATATAAAGATTACTAATAAGGGTGACCTTTATCAGATATAAAGGTCCATGACCCTAGCAAAATTGACCAATCCAGGATGTCAACCGATTTCAGTGAACAGCCAGGAGCGCTTATATTTTACTTTATGCGTATTCAATGTGGGATGACAAGAATGCTTTGTGATTCGCGTGATTCGCGCATGATCAGTTTGCCCCATTTATCTCTGAACATATTTGTACGCCAATAAGGATCAAGCTTGTTGGTTGTCTCGCTTCGATGACAAGGCACGGCTACCTTTCAAGATGGCTTAGGGAACCGTTAAGAAGTCTATTGTGACACAATTTACAGTCAAAAGACATGAAGCGCGGTCCCCGAATAGCTCGTTATTCAATGCATTATTGGATTTTTCATTTTATTAATTTTCGTTTTCAAACTTCAGTTGATTAATTCAAATTTAAATTCAAATCTCGAACTCTGATAATGACAGAAAACAACGCAGCATTTCCAGCTTTCTGAGACCGTCATTCCTATCTCACGAGACGGAACAGGTCCTGAACCAAATTAACAGACAGCATATTGAAATGTATCAACTTGTGGAAATTACAAAAGAACAGCAAGGCTTTATGAAAATTTGATCAATAATCCAATCAAATTTCGAAGTTGGAATTCAAATTTGATATCAATAATATAATGTTGAATCGACCAAGAATYGAATAATGAATTGAATAATGGCGTTTTGAAGTGGCGCGCTTCATGTCTTTTGACTGTAAGAGCGTCTTTGAGGARCAATAACCTTTGAAATGTTATATYATTTTTCTGTAATATTGCTCGTTGAAAATRCAACGATGAYGCCGCAAACCACCAAGTAGCAAAAATAGACATAAGTCCAAGAATGCAAATGACACGRCGCTGGGTCCGGCACTGTTTCATTACAGACAATAACCAGTCCATTGTGAAGTTTTGGTCTTGCGGTGACTTTCTGAACCTGCAGTAGAGAATCAATAGAAGACTTGATAACTGATATCAATGGACAATTCAGGGTAGCAATGATGATGTAGGTTTTTTCAGTGATTATCGATCCCATGGCAAAAAGTGTAATCTACGATCCACAAAATATGGGAATTTTGATCAAATTAAATTGATTTGATGCAAAGTTTAGTGCTGGTTGAACAAAAGATTTAAAAAATAATTCAAAATAGTATTATTAATGTTTCACGCTTCAGTAAAGCCATGTTTTTTTTTGCAAATATTACATTTAAATGACATGATTCCAGTAGTTTCAGAACATTCGAAACTAAATGATAATTGGACGAAATCTAAAGCAATCATACAGTGAAAATATTCGTAAGATTTTGTAAATACCGCGGTGGACTTTTCATTTATTAGATTTAAGAACATTTAAAAAACTGATTTAAAAAACTGAGCCAAATTTATAAGGTTTTGTATCATGATTAAGCTTAAGATTTTTCTTAAATTATTTTTGATTGACTGAAATTCAAGCTTTGATTGCTCTAGAACCAGAAAATAAGTCTTAATTTGCACTGCTTCAAAACTTGAAAGAATGGAAAAAAGTATAAAAGAAAAACAAAATACAGACAGAGACACAAAAAAGCTGATTTAAGTTATGCACGACATGTAATCTTTCGGTGGCCCTTTCGGTAGTGATTCACTAAGCGCCGACGCCTCGACTAATCTAAAGACTTTTAATTGAATACAAAACTTGCAATAAAAGCTAAAAACTGAGTAAAGTAACCTCAAGCGTTGTGTTTTCCTTACATTTTTACCGTTCCTAAGACGTTTCAGCTCTAATAATCACTTTCTCAGCCAAAACATTCATTGACTAAGGTCAGTGACAAACTTACCAAAAAAATTAGGACATGAGTTCAAAGTTTTTTCTTCGTTTCTTTCATCCCAAAATGAGCTGGTTGTAACATGAATGGCATGACCCACACATAAATATAAACATCCCACCATTGAAGTGCTAATTCCTACCTTATTTTTCATAAAAAGCTGGAAAAACCACAGAAAGTAAACGTAGCTCTATAGTACTACACCGAGGTCAAAGTACTGACGAGTTGACAGGCGGCCCAACCTTTTGTAGGTTGAATGTCATTTAGTGTGACAAAGCATGATGGGAGTTGTAATCCTCGTAATTTTCATCAAAAATGTCCTCTTGGAGTGTTAATGCTTTTCTTTGCTAAAACAGAACTAGTTAGGAGTGTTTGGTTAARACTTTTTCACGCTTTACTAGAATGTTTTCCTTCTAGGGTACGGTAAGATCTCGCAGGATAAATCTATTGTATTTACTACTCACGCTTATCTCTCGTACAATTTACTCCATATTTGATATCGCTTGCTTCTTTCTCAGTTAATTGCTTGTACCCCATGATATACACACTCTTTTCCTATACTTGTTATAATCGCATCAGACAAAACTATCGCAAAGCAAAGSTTTCTTCTGTGACAAAAACTGGAGGTTTTTTAAGTTCAATGTGGGTCGAGAAACCGGCGCTTTAATTTCAGTCCGTAACATGATTTTGATCGATTTAAATCACTGTAAGGGTACAAAAAGACGCTTGATCAGTTTGAAGGGATATTGATGGGTACTTTTTCGCTTGAAATGAATAATCCAACATCTTATGGACAAATTTTCGAATTTTCGTCTTTTAACTAGTATAGCTGCTAGCAACATATGCAAACCTAAGCTCAAAAACTATATCCATGAATTCTGGCTTTCTTAGACAAACAATTAATCAACCAACTATATTCCATCCCCCGTCTCCCCTAAGACTAATCATTTAGCCTGTCATTTTACTTTGAATGAAATTCAACGTGTGATTATTAGCTATAAACTGATTTCTGATTTGCCTTCTCCTATTCCTCGTCAGAATTAAATATAGCGAATTTTCTCTTCCAAGAAAGGCTGATTTACACGGTACGATTTGTCGCGCGCGACTTGTAGTATACGATTTTCCTACTACAAGTCGTAGGATTTTAAGCCGTGTTTCAAAATCCTACTACAAGTCGTAGGCTGCGTACGACTGTTGTAGACAAGTCGTAGGGGCATTTACACTGCGCGATTCAAGTCGCATACTACAAATCGCACGAGACAATCGTGCCGTGTAAATCAGCCTGAATAATGCAAACATTGTTAATCTGAATTTCTTTCCCGACAATGATTTGTGGAACCTGCTGGATCTACAGTTCCCGCTCCCCGAATAGTTCATTATTCAACGCATTATTGGATTTTTCATTTTATT